GCTGCTCTTTCATCAGTCCCCAGGAAGATTAAGACCACTTCACAAGTTCACCAGGGAGGCAACTTAATGACCCACTTGGGGATAAGTGAGGATTAGGAGCAAGACATCCACATCCCAAAGACTCTACTAGTCACATCTCCTATTGTCCCTTCAACAAGCCCATCATGTTAGTGAGAAACGCAGCCACCCTGGTAGACATTTATGGGGTCCCCCTTAGCCAACTTTCTAGACTGAAGAAGGTGCTTTGACAAGCAGCGAAACATTTCAGACCAAAAGAACGGAAGTCCACTTGCCATGACTCAGCCCAGATAATTCCACCTGGATGACTGAGAATCTTCATCAACATAGATGTTGGTACAAACATTGGCATGCCGTGCAAATTTAATATGCCATGCATATTGGTGTAGAATATATTGCTGCAGTAGCATGTTGGAAACAGAGATGTACTATTGTGGATTGCTTAACCTTTAAACCATGTCCTTCATCTGGGATAAACTAAAACTCCCAGATTTCCTGTTTCCATAGCTGGAAGAGATTTCTGGGCCTGGGCAAAATATACTTCTGGTGTTTCCAGTTAGCTCTTGGAAGCTCTTTTTGGCTTTTGCAAGTGCCAGAGAGGGCAAGAGGAGGATATGAGGTGGTATGAAGCACTTTGTGGAAGCCAATTGCTTTTCTTCATGAAACAAATCAAATTTTGCTCACTCAAGCCTGGTAGAAAAGGCCAGGACAAAAATAAATTTTATTTTCTAAATGTCATAGTTTACATTTAGATTTCATTAAAAAAAACCCAAAACTGAGAATATGAATACTTCCCATGCCCTGAATATTTTTACTTCCCATTTAGTTGGGCTTTCCAAGATTTAAAAGTTCTACATTTAGCCTGGACTGTCATGTTGGGTGCCTCTGATCCAAGCATTGCATATAGGACTGCATTGCTGGCTCTTTTTCTTGTCCATGTCCCCAAAACATTTAGGTGATTTCATGCATTGCTCAGTGAGGGAGCTCCAGGAAAGTGCCTTTGGTGGGTTCGTCTTTCCTTGGTAGATCCTCCAGGCAAGCTTTTTGGCAGCCAGAAAGGGGAGAACAACATTCTAAGAGAACAGAGCAACTGTTGTAATTGCTCATAATGCTTCTAGGGCAGAAGTATCCAGTTTTATTTGTGCCAAGAGCCACCCTTGGCTTTGAATGATATGCCAAGGGTCACATGCCAAAAATAATGGGTACAGCCAGAATAAATAAAACCCTGCTTTTATTTACATATACAGTATGTGTAGTTAAATTTTAATATATTTAATGTGATGAACTAAGTAATTTTCCCTCCCATCACTTTAAAAGCTAAAATTTGTTAGCAGCATTTGGAGGGCTCTGGGAATCACTCCAATGTTTCAGGCAACCCTGGTTTGAACATCTCTCACTTAGGTCATTGCTGGCTCCTTCTGCACACAAACATCCAGTGAAAAATATTGTTTAATTAGGCATTAGTAGAGGCATTTTCTAGTTTGGGATCCTTGCAGCTGCCCAACAAAGCCAGATGCCAGCAGCTGGCCTGTGCAATTATACCTGTTACAGAAAAAAAAATCTGATGCATATTTTGCTTGATATATATCATACTCACATCTTACATTTTAGTCATGCCTTTCAACTGTAATTTGTGGAAAGCCCCTTAACACATTGCAGTATTTGTAAAAATCAGAAGGAATTTTTATCTAATTAGATGTTCTTCCATACAAAGAGACAGCAACAGTCACAGAGACTCTGGCCATAAAAAGAAAATGTGCTAATTTCGGTCATTTTTATATTGGTGGAAGCATTTGTTTAATATCTTCTTCCTCCTCCTTCTCCTCCTCCAATATTCTTCTTCTTCATCATCATCATCAACATCATCATCATCATCATCATCACAAATATCTCAAATATAGTTGGCATCTTGCGAGCAAATTTTGAGCTGGGCAACAGATGCAAACTTGTTACTTCTCTAAAAGTGTGTGATATAAACATTGGAGGAATGAAATCATAATAGTTTTTTTTTTCCTTAATAAAGCAGCACAGGATTGACATCTTCTACCTGGTTCTTTTATTTACACACACACACACACACACACACCACTTTTTTTCTGGTGCATTTGACATTAATTGTGAAGAAAATGGCCTTCTCTACAATTTAAGAATTCATTTTTGTTTTCTTCTTTAGTTCTTGAGAATTTGACAGGAGGCCTGGGGGAAAGTTTATAACTCTACCTGTATCTGCCATATGAAGCTGATCCCATTTAAATCAGCAATTCTGCATGAGGAGAAGACAACAAAAGGCAGGCTTAGAGGGCGAATGCTGAAAATAGCATCTCCGAGTACAAATTTCCTTGCACTCTTTTCTCATTAAACTTATTCTGTGACATGACAGGATTATGCTGATTTCCCCTCCCTTGCTTCTTCCCATTGGCTACTATTTTCTAGGAAGGTGGGGAAAATTGCAGCAAAGTGACAATATGGAGAAAGAAAGAAAGAAAGAAAGAAAGAAAGAAAGAAAGAAAGAAAGAAAGAAAGAAAGAAAGAAAGATAGAGAACATTACCAGGCAGAGATATTATCCTGCATTTTCCCCGTATTACCCTCATTTGATC